CGGATCGTACTTGTCAGCAGCGGTGACCGCGACGGCGGCCAACTCATCGTGTAGCTGCTGCATTCTGAAAGTCCCATCGACACGGNCGAGCGCTACAAAAGCACTTCGACCGTCACCGAACTCCTCGTCCCCGACCGGCCCGAACGACTGCACTACCTGCGAAGCCGGGCTCGAGTATCCTTCCGGGCAGTCCGACGTAGCCAGCAGAAGCCGCGTGTAGAGTTTGCCATTCTTTTCTTGGAACTTTTGTAGCTTCCTCTCGTACGTCGCGGTCGCTGCGGCGTCGGCATCCTCCGCCACCGTGGGAGCCTTCTCCGCTCCAGACATGACCCGACCTAGGTCTGCCTCGTACATCAGCGCACGGAAAAGCGAGACCCAACCGACAAACTGGCCGGGTTCTCCGCTGAACGCGACATATCCGCGCTGCAGATGATTTGACGACTGCTGTTGCGCTGATGACGCCATTTGACTCGAGGTGATTCCCTACCTCGCTATACGTGGCTCAAAACTTGTTGGGCGGTACCACAGCTGTAGTACGCTGGTTGGCGTATGTGGTAGAGGCTTGGTAGAGAAAACAAAAAGAGTGATTTATTATCCACACACAGACGCCTGGACTGTCTGCACCTGACGGTTACAGTAAAACAGAACGCCTTCACAATACCGTATCAAACACATACAGCAGAATAGAGTCGGTCTTGCACAGCAAACACCCCAACAGGTCCAACTTGCGTAAACACTCAAGCAGCCGCGGCGGCTGGAAACGTGAGAAATCGGACGCTGCTGCTTGACTAACTGTTGTCCTGGCGAAGCTGGAACGCTGTTTAATTGCACAATAACGACGCGGTTACCCTTACATGTGATCATTGAATTTCTCCACACATGCAGACGGAAACAAGCTTGAATTGGTTGCTGCCAGATGACCTGTCCAAAGAATTGTTTGTCTTCATGCACCACTTGGGGATCACGCCTTGTGTGCACTTGTGTGCAGCGGAATCCAATCGGAGACCCGGACCTTGAGGCCGAGGCTTTCAAGCAAAACGACTTCCGACCGGCACGAACCCAGAGGATCCATGCGTTAAGGAAAGCAAAGGCGACAACACCAGAAAACAGCGTGTGGTCGGGCAAATTGACCGGTTACATGTGCATGCCATGTGTCGGCAATTCGAGTGGTATGAAGTAATCGGAACTCGCTGTGGCTTCCTGTGGCATGCTACACGTTTTCAACAGACCATCAACTGACTATTTCTCCTTCTCGAGCCCTTGCGTTTTCTGTTCAGGCATGTGAGGCTGCCGGCTGTAGGTGCTACTTCGGCTTATGCGTCACGACTGACCGCGTGGAAATATGCGGTGAGCTGTAGGCCGGAGTGGGAGTCCTTCTTTCCTAGCCTTCGCCTTTGACGTGGGTCTATAGGGAAAAATTGGTCAAAACAGATGCAGTAACCGCGTTGCACAAGGTGAAGCTCTTGACATATTTATTCTCCCGGTTATTCCAAGCCCATGAGCGCACGATATACCATGTGGGAGATGTGACGTAGCCGAAAAATTCATTCTAAGCACTCGATGAACACGCCTTGTTTCTCGCTCACCGCCCAGATTTCGTCTCTAACACCGATCGTGTTCGATTGACCTCATTGCCGCCGCCCCTTTTCTCACAATGCGGTTGACGCCAACACGTGGGTCATCCCTGCCGATCGTCCAAGACGGTGGCGGTGAGTGAGGCAAACGTTGCATGACAGCACCGAAAGTAGAGTGATACATAGCTGCTCGCTGCAAGGCGGGACGGTCAACCCCTGTCTATTACGTAGAACGCGAGAAGGGGATGTGACGTTGGTTTCAGTTTGTGGAACATACGAGAAATCCGCGCGGAGTGCCCATGCCCATGTTCCACATGTTTGATGTGGAGGTATCAAATAATAATCACTCTGCGGACGAACAGCGGGGATGAGATATTATGGCTCCAAAACAACGCCCTCCGACTTGTCACATTTTGTCTTCTTCACATGGTGCTGAAACTTTGTAGGAGTCACTTCCATGGCGTCGCCAAACTGTCAAAATTGACTTATTTGTCGTCCCCCGTCACTGACCCCTCTCACGGTCGGCATGGAACCAGCATAGGTGTCATTTATGGTTGTTTTCTTTTCGAATTGCTTCATTCTTTTCTTCGGTTTCTAGGAGATACGTCGGGCCGTGAGACCCACGGAAACCCCGTCATCTCGCCGGCCACATTAACTACGAGGCGCGGCGTTGACTCTTTCAAAGCTGTCTCACTCCCCGCAAATAATACCAGCCGCGTGACTACGACTGCAAACGTAGGAGTCCCTAGACTGACCAAGCCCCAAATGGCACACACCATTCTACAACACCCACATCGAGGTCATTTTCTGGACAACTACGGCAGAAGTCGACTAATTTTGTACCCCCGTACAATTCAATCTCCCAGCTGACTCGTTGCTGCTGCCGTCCGTGAGTTCCAACACATACGTCGCGAATCCTCTTCTATATTTTGATTGCACAGCTTGTACGCATCCGCCTTCATTTTTCCTTTCCCTGAATTTCATGTACTGCAATGTCCGCCTGAACCTGAAGCCTTCGCTCCTCCAATCTACCAAAGGAATCCCATTTGATCCCCCGGTTCGCGATTGTAACCCTAGCCGTTCGGGGGCAGCGCTAAACTTCAGAAATGTTACTGCTCTACCAAAACCCTACGAAGCCAACGGTAAGGAACCAGGTAAACGTCGCATGGCACAATAACAACTCCACCACAAGAGCAACTTCACCGCTATTTGCTCTCACGCCTGACTGCGGTCCTGTGACTTGTCTCCGCTTGTCGATAGTAGCTCGGCCTTGTCTGGCTCGGTCTTGTTGCGGTCCCGTTGTCCGTGTTCTGTCTCTGCTGCCCGAGGTATAGTCCCCCCCCCTTCCCCAGCTACGCAGACGAGCACCTCTATTCGCCGGCTCCATGGGTGAAGAAATCGCCAGCCTTTGGCGTCGTACAGTTCGCTCCTGCCGGGCGCGTCCCCCCCCCGGCCCCCTCACCCGTTGCCGTATCCGGCGCTGTCACTACTATCCCTGTCTCCGGTGAAGACCCCCGCCTTCGCCTCCGCCCCCGCCGGTACCAGAGCTCGCACTTCCGTCTTCCGCCGTGGACCCGCGGGATCGCTTTATAACGGCGATGGAAGCTGGTGCCCGCCCCGTAATGAGCGATGGTTCACTGCCGTGCCGACCCCCACCCCTGCCGATGAAGCGTAACAGCGTCGAACCACTTCGACGCGAAAGCTGTGCAGTTGTCAGTGATAAATGTCGCGGACCAGATGTGCTCAAGTCGGTCCGCAACTCGCCGAGGTGCTTTCGACAATACTCGCGAACCCTCACCAGTCCAGATCACCAATCGTCGCTCACAGTGGTTGTTGATCGCCTGCGGTCTCGTCACGCTGCCGCTGCTGCTCGTCCTTCTGCCGACACTTCAGTCTGCGGAGAGTGGTCACCTCGGCCTCGTCGAGAGGGGCGTCACCATTGCCTGTCGATCGCGCTCGCGGGAGGACCTGCATCTAGCTAGAGTATGTGACACACCTGCGGATCGAATCGCGTGCCGTCGGACTCGCTGCTGATCGTCCTGAAGCTCTCCTCGTACGTGGTGAGGAGGTTGTGGCCGCCCGGCCCCGCCACCCTTGCCTAGCCGCAGCCCTGCCGCTCCACGTTGAGATCCGTGCGGACATCTATTCACAGTCGGTTTTGTCAACAGCAAACCGGTGACGGGGAGGAGTGCGAACGTCAGCACGGCGTAACGGGAACACTCGTTGCTGTCTTCAGCATAGTCGGGAATAGGGCACACCTGTATCTGCAAGTAGAATTCCTGCACGCGCCTCTGTGGCAGAAAAGCGAGCTTGGAAATGAGTCCAACGTAACGTCGCTACTGCTATTCATGCTCACATTTCCTTCGTTGTCTACGCCTGAGTGAATTGAAAGGCGCAACGTTACTGCGCCCCTGGCACTTTTTGGCCCGTCGGGGTTGCGAGTAGTTTCGTGGCACTGCTCGGATATTTTCGGGTAGCAAGTCGCGGACATATTTCCAGATTTTCTCTTCGCATCAGCCCCTTGCGAAGCCACAGCAGGCGAACAATCGTTCTGTGTTTGGAAACGTGTACTATACCCCGCTGCCCGAGATGCGTCTTTTGATTGAAAAGACACTGTATTCGGGTCTTCATACACTTTTCTTCTGGTTAGTTTTTTTCTTTTTTTGTCCTCGCAGCTCGTGGACGGCCTTTTCGCCACGAGGAGGGACTATGGCGTGTCCCTCGTGCCGCTCGGACATTTTTTATTATTGCTAGACAACGCTAATTTCTTCCTTGGGTTGATTTTCTGTCTGGCCCGTCCATGTGCAGAAGTCACGCGTTCGCGCCTTGGGGCGAACGATGGGGACCGCAATGCAACCCTCGTAGAAACAACATATTTTTCTCCAGCCTATGTTTCGTTCGCACCAACAATACGCTCGCTGCCGCGTGCGGTCTCCCTCGTTCATCCTGTGTCTTCCACATGGTTCACACTATGATTGATTCGCTTTTGGACGCGTGGGCACTGTTTGATAGGAATATTCTACTCGCTTTTCTAAGAGTCACAACGTCGCACATAATATCTCGTCTCTCTTTCTCCTACACTTTTATCGATCGGTATCATGGGTGGCTAGGCACTATTACACCTACCTCCCACCAGGCCTTCACCAAGCCCTCCCTATGTGATATATCTCACCCTCACTGCCAGTCGGACGAAAGCATACGTTTGTCTTCGACTGCACACACTGCTGATCATTTTCTGCTCTCGTCGTCACCGCCTACGTATACAATGAGTTGATCCTCTCTTTCGAAATATTTCGATTTATTGTATTTTTCCGAAGTGTCAATTTTATTATTATTTTCCACGAAGTCTGGAAGATAACTCTCTGGCCAATAACGAGGGGACGGCACCAGTCGCTTCCCTCTCTCCTCCAGAGTCCAAGTTCCCCTTCCATGTCAACTGGCAGGTCCAAACAAAATGCCGTCTCAATACACCGAGACCCCCCAATGGTACTCCATACCATTGCCATCCACCAACATCAACGTTTAGTGGGATGGCATTTTGTCCCCTTGCCCGTACCTTCGTGTATGCTAACCCTTCTTCTGCTCCGTCTTCTTCCCCTTCGCTAGTTTACGGGATACCATGTCTACGTCCACCATGTTATTCCTAGTATATATTTTGAACGTACCCGAGCCTTCCTTCCATCTACCCTCTCCCTGTATAATTCTGTCCGGTACGTCTCCTCCTGCTGCCAACGTGGTGGCGGCCCCGATTCTCAACGAATGCAGGCCAACCTGTTTCGGGTTGCCACCTGCCTTCTCCACAATCTGGGCGCTAAGAGCTTTGGAATATCCCCAAACCTTAATCGTCTTGCTCCTCCTACAGCGAAACGAACACAGAGGAGCGTCCTCAGGTAACGCGAGATGGCACGCCATCAATTCCACCAACACCGCCACGGCACCGCCACCGGCTCCAATCTGAGAACTCGCGCCTCGTGCTACTTCGCGCACTCGTGTAACGCACGCCCCCTTCTCCGACTGATCCCCCTTGTGGCCGCGAAACCGAACCCGAACTCCTGTGGCCTTGTGCCAGTGCAACTGGGCTAGCACGTCCTCTCCATCAAAGAATTCGACGTCGCTACGCCGCAAACAATGCACCTGGTGGCATTGCCCCGACAGTGTGGCAAAAACCTCATCCNGACGGATCCCTCTTGTGGGCGCGAAATCGAACCCGAGCTCCTGTGGCCTTGTGCCAGTGCAACTGGGCTAGCACGTCCTCCCCATCAAAGAATTCGACGTCGCTACGCCCCGAACAATGCACCTGGTGGCATTGCCCCGACAGTGTGGCAAAAACCTCATCCGAACGCGCCACCAGGAAGTACGACAACGCCAACCACAGCCACAACGCGCGGCCACCTGTACCCCAAGACGCCGTCAACTGCTGTCCTTCCAACAACGTCTCCCACGAGACGGGAACCCTATTCCGACTCTTTGTACCCGCGCGAACGTGAACACGTGCGACACCCAACAAACTCNACACGCGGCCACCTGTACCCCACGACGCCGTCAACTGCTGTCCTTCCAACAACGTCTCCCACGAGACGGGCACCCGGCTCCGACTCTTTGTACCCGCGCGAACGTGAACACGTGCGAAACCCAGCAAACTCCCTTTGATAAGAGGCGCACCGGCAGGCAACTCAAGCTGCTTGTCAACTCGATGAAAGTACTGTACCGCGGCGAGCTTGCCGGATATCGTTGGTGCAACATTACCCTTATCTGCACAACACCACGCCGCAAACTCCAAAAGTGCTTGTTCCAGCCCAGCCCTATCCGCGTCCCCCGAGAGGTACTCCGACTCGCCTATCATGCGGCGAAAAGCACACCAAGCCCGCCAACCCGACAGGTAAGTTCTTCGAGACGACTGCGCAACTGACTCGCGGACGTACTCGCCGCTAAGACGCCGGTACAAAGATCGGCGACCTCCGGGCTCAACACCTGTTGGCGCCAGGCGACATTGGGACGGGACAGGCGAAGACGAGCGTCAATGGTCGCCGGCTCCCATCGTGAAATACCATCTGCAATCGTGTTATCGACCCCCGGAACATGAGCCGCCTCAAAACTCCATCCGCTGCCCATCTCCAAATATCCTAGCATACGCATGAGTGCCCCCGATCGGGGCTCGCTCCCCCCCCGACACTTGTTCACCCACGCGACACTCGACGAATTGTCTCCCATCATACGAATGCTATTGCGGGCGTACTCTGGCCTCATGTCCGATTGTACAATGAACACCCAGGCGCCAACTACCATCGCGAGGAGTTCGAGCATGTTGATGCTCAGATCGTCGCGCCCCTGGGCCTGCTGGCGAAACCTCTCCCGTACTTTCTGACTAAAGTCAAAACGCCACCACACTCCCGACCGGAATTTGGCATGCAAGAAATACCCTCCCATCGCATCTCCAGATGCGTCCGACCACAAAAGACACGAATATGGTTGATCGAAAAAAAACACACACACACACGAGTGGGGCTGTTAACAACCGCGACGGCCACCCCAGGCCCCCTTCGACCAACAGACGCCAAAGCCGCATGTCGGCATGAAACTACGGACCGATTCGTTTCCGTGTCGCTCCCCGGGCGGTCAATTGCACCGGCGGTAGCCCCAACTGGTTGAGCATGCGGCGAACAAAATATTTACCAGGCCACACGACCTCACAGATATGCAATAATGAATCAATCACCCCCCGCAACTCGGACTTAGAGGCAAAGCAGCGCGTGGGAGGTCACTCGCGGATTGTCGCCCGTAGGCGTTCCAGCTTGTCTGTGGGAACCGAAATGGTCATAGCCACCGTATCAATGTCCCACCCTAGCACACACAACCTTGTGCGCCACGAGGAAAGTTTACGCGTAGACAACAAGGGAGGGTCCCTTGACCCCCGCGCCCCAAACACCCGGAAATGGTCCGATGCACAAGACGCGGAAGCTACAATACACCGGTCCCCAGTCAGGCTCCACATCACTTCCACAAGAATACCGTCGTCGACATAGAACCGCACAAAAAACGAGTCAGAACGACCGCCCCCCGAACCGGGGGGGAATGCGACACCCAGGGGGGGATGGGGGTGGCGTCTCTCGTTCGCTAGGTAACGGAACCTCAACATGGTTCGTAGCCGTCCGGCCAAGCTCAGTGACCACTGCATTATCCACAGACGTGTGATTGGTAGAGTGCTCCAACGCGGCAGTCATGACACAAAAAATGCCAGGCGAATTGCGCCACCCAAACACCAAGCGCCGATCTACCACGACAAGGTCCCCAACTGAGTAGCCAAACACGGGAGCTCCCGACCATTGAACCGCAACCTGTCGAAACGCGTCCGTCACGTCAATTTCGCTTAACACAATCCGGGCCGATGGTCCGTACGTCCTCCGCAACCATAAAATGCGCCACACGATGTCCCGCAACACGTGACCTAACTCGACTTTCGGCGCCGCCTCTGAATCCGTGTCGGCATTGACACTACGCGACACGGGTGAGCATTCAAACGTCAAGTCATCGATAAATCCGAAATTTCTCAGGCGATACGACTACACCTATTGGCGACAACCGCAACCCCGGGATCGATTCTGCCTCTGTCTTTGGAAACACGAACGCCCGCCCGAACCGCACGTCATCAAACACTTTCCGGAGAATCGTGTCAGAATGTGGGACGACACTAGGGTGGTTACCATACGATAGCGCTGCTGCGATTTCGGCAGACCCACACACGGGAACTACGGCGCCACGTTCCACGATAGCAGCGACAGTCTCTGTGTGAGGAAAACCCTTCAAGCGTCCAAACCAAAACCGAATAAATTCAGGCCGTACCCGCGGCACCCCGATGCCGTTTTCGATGGCTTTCATGCATTCAAATCTGCCCCCATGCCGAGACAAAAACCGAAAACACTTCACCGCGATCTGAGCAAGTACGGTTGCACGTGGTGTGCCTTGCGCGACGGTCTGAGACATAGCATGTACCACGGAAACAATATGCCTAACATCATTGCCATCTAAAATACCAACCCCACCTGGGGTCAACGCAGTAGCCGCCCCTGGTCGTAGGAGGTGCGTGCTGGGACCCGAGACCACGCCCCCCGCGACATCGAAAGACGGCCCTCCCCCCCCCGGGGGGCAGGGCCCGCGCCCCTATTCCTCATCATCGTCCTTCGCGCCGCCGCCGGCACCGCCCTTGGCACTGCTGCGAGTCTTCGTCCCGGCCATTCCCACCTTGGCCCGCTTCGCTGGGGCGGCGGCGGCAGGGGCATTGGTGTCGGCGACGGTGGAGGGGCTACCTTTGGAGCCGCCCTCCTCGGCTCCGCCGCCAGTCATGCCCCCCCTTTTTCCTCCCTTTCCGCCAGCCTTCCGTGGCGCCACATGTGCGAACTTGCAGTCTTTCCCCCACCGACATGTACCGTCTCTCTGGAACTGGTAGCACGGCCCCTGGTCCTTGGCCTTGCTTCCCTTCCCCCCGGCACCCGCTGCGGCGGCCGACGAACGGCCGGCCTTGCCTTGCACAGCAGAATTGATCAGCCCTCCCGACCGGAGATACGCCGCGAGGTTTGGGAAAGCCGGGAGGGGNCATCATTGCCATCTAAAATACCAACCCCACCTCGGGTCAACGCAGTAGCCGCCCCTGGTCGTAGGAGGTGCGTGCTCGGACCCGAGACCACGCCGCCGGCGACATCGAAAGACGGCCCTTCCCCCCCCCGGGGGGCAGGGCCCGTGCCCCTATTCCTCATCATCGTCCTTCGCGCCGCCGCCGGCACGGCCCTTCGCACTGCTGCAAGTCTTCGTCCCGGCCATTCCCACCTTGGCCCGCTTCGCTGAGGCGGCGGCGGCAGGGGCGTTGGTGTCGGCGACGGTGGAGGGGCTACCTTTGGAGCCGCCCTCCTCGGCTCCGCCGCCAGTCATG